AGCATCAACAACTTCAGAATGAAGCACAACAGTCTGATGCACAAATTAATGTTGACGGTCTTAATGATGCACAACTTGCTGCTTATACTGCCGTCACAACGTCAGTATGTGAAAACATAGCAACTACTTTTTTTTTGAGTGGAGGTGCTGGGACGGGAAAAACGTTTTTGTACAATACCATTGCAACCAAATTGCGTAGTTATGGACATGTTGTTGTTACTGTGGCTTCATCTGGTATTGCATCGTTTATTATTGGTAGGGGGCGCACTGCACATTCTACATTTTGTATTCCTTTGGAAACCCTAGACAATTCAATATGTGGGTTCACTAAACAATCAATGCATGCCGAATTGTTTAGAAAAACAAAGCTGATAATATGGGATGAAGTTCCTATGCAGCATCGATACTGTGTTGAGGCAGTCGATCGCACCCTTCAAGATATCAGAGACGATAAAAGACCTTTTGGGGGTATCACTGTTGTCCTGGGTGGAGACTTTCGACAAATATTGCCTGTTATTCCTAAAGGCGTTCGTGAGCAAATTGTGGGTGCATCATTGAGACGGTCTTTGCTATGGAAAGATATATGTGTTTTGACTCTAGGTTTAAACATGCGATTAACTCGCACTGACGTTCGAAATACTAATTTTGCTAAATTCTTGATGGAGGTAATATTTCATTCCACCTTGAATTGTTGAATTTTTTAACATGATGCTTTGAATTAAATCTCACTTTGTGACTAATTATACTCTCATTTTTTAGATTGGGACCAATCCACATGAAATTGTGCAACTTCCATCTACAATAAACCGGTGTCACAATCTAAATGAATTGATATTTAAAATCTATCCACAATTGGATGTGATTGGTATAGTGACTCCAACCTTTCTCACTGAACGCACAATTCTCTCTGCGCGTAATGACGACGTCAGTGATATAAATGCTGCAGCACTGAATATTACTCCGGGAGAGACAATTACTTTTTTAGCTGCAGATAAAATGTCTGAAGGTGATGAGCTTGACCGTACCATTAGGAATCGATATCCTAATGAGTACTTAAACTCGCTGAATCCTTCAGGGTTGCCACCGTTTAAATTGGAGTTGAAAGTTGGATGCCCAATAATGTTGTTACGAAATATTGCACCAAAGGATGGACTTTGTAATGGCACGCGATTGATGGTTGTTAGATGTGCCTCAAGGGTAATCGAAGCTCAGATATTAAATGGAGATAAAATTGGCAATTTAGTCTTCATTCCGAGAATATCAATGACACCAACATCTTTGGACTTGCCTTTTCGAATGACAAGACGTCAGTTTCCTGTCCGATTAACTTATGCTATGACAATCAATAAAGCCCAAGGACAATCTGTCAAGTTCGTTGGGATTGATTTGCGGACACCTGTTTTTAGTCATGGACACCTTTATGTGGCACTATCTAGATGCACATCTTCGGATCGTATTACAGTCCTCCTTCCAGAAGATGGGTCGAATTGCACTACAAATATTGTTTACCCAGAAGTTTTGTTATAAGATTCTTACGACAAGTAAATGGTATAGTTTAAACAAATTTATTTCTACTGAATTATGTAATCTTTTCATCATTTCAACTTTTAGTTTTACAATGAGATTCATTCTTTATAGGATTGGAGTGAATTTGTCAACGAGAACGATAGTGTATATACAATGGACCTTTGTGGATGGGGCCGACGTAATCAGGTAAATCTACTTTATGTCACTGTATTAAAATAACTTTACTATTCCTACAATATAAATATTGTGTTACTTTTATTGTTTATGTGAATAATTTAGGTGGTTGTGCATTCTCCTCATTGGGCAAAGTGCGTTCGTATTGATACGAGGACATTAAGGATAGTGATGAAGAGAAGGTTTAAAGGGATGAATAAGACATTTAAGAGAGTTAAATGATATGCAATCCATTACCGACCTGTCCACCTTTGACGATGACTAACTCATCACTGACCAAACAATTGTTTAGGTATGAAAATCTCTCTTACTAAGACTCTATATTTCTCTATTTCTCATGTAGACACACAACACACAATACATGCACAAACACAAACACATAACTGTAACCAATCAAACACTCGCAAATCAAACTCACACACCATTATATTGTCACCAATACAGATTTATGATTGAAATCATTAAGCAAATGAACCGTCTGTTGAAATGATACTAAGAAAATCTTATTTGATTGTAAGTCTCTACATTCCTCCATATCTTTTCCTAAATAAATTGATAATTTGTTACAAACTCTCTAAATTCTTACTTATATCAATCTAAATCATTTCAGGGTAATGTAATTAATTATATTGAATCCAACTAACGAAAAAAGTAAGGGGTCTTATGTTTCGGATTTACAATTGTTTTATTTTGACTCACTTATTTCGATAATTTTTATATTTCAAATATTTTCAGGTATACATTGAAGGATACTTGGTATAAGTTGTAAAGAATATGAAGTTGTTTCTATATTTTGTGTATGTGTGTATTTTTTGTGTTCCGTCTTTTGTAAAGTTAACTAATTATACATAATTATGATGATTTTGGGTATGGAATGATGGTTGTTTTGGTGGTTTGGGTATGTAGTGATGATTGTAAGTTTTGTAGATAGGTTTATATTTTTCTGTATATCTATTTTTAAAGGAAATTCTGCATAAATTTCTTGAAATTAGTAGGGATTAACTTGATGTTTTGGTGGTTGGATATGTGTTGATGATTGAATATGTATTAATTATTGTGGTGGTATGGTAAATTATGATAACGTTATGGTAAATTAGAGTTTTAATCTAATTTTTCGTTACGCCGTGCCTTCAGGCACGGGCAATTACTAGTATATATATATATAAGAGAAAATTTTAATGTTAATAAAACTCTTAATTTATATATGGATATAGATAAATACGAGAAAGAAGATTTTAATGTTAGTTAAACTTCTAAGATTTGAGAATTTTTAATTTAATTTTATTTTTAAAGGAAAAGGATAGTATGGTAAAATTGACAAAAAATGGATTTCATAATAAATAAGTTTTCTTGATACACTTAAGTCAAAACAAGTCTATATAAGGAGACATACTTTCAAATTTTCCAATAATGTATGACTAATAAGCAAGGAGCAATCACTCATGCAATCACGTATTTTCGAAAAAAAAAGTTATTGTACAATTTGCACTCACTCCTAGTTTGTTGATTTGACATCCGGTCATCAATCCATGGGTTTTTTTGGCCTATAAGAAGGCTCGGAGTTTTGTATAAGAACGTGTCTAAATTTACTAAACTGATCGATAAAATCTCAAAAAAAATTAAAATTAAAAATGTGTTTAAGTTTGCTCCTGTGGAACATGAGCAATGTGTCAAATGAGCTTCCAATGAATGCAGCTTAATCAAGTTTGAATAGCTTGTTTTAATCTAAAATAAAAATAAATATTTATTTACATTCGATGTATTATTTAAAAATTCCCTTACAATTTTTGTCGGTGTCTCTCTCTTTAGAATACCAAGAAAACTAATGTTTTTATATTTACGTAAATGTTATTACGTAGTGAATTTACGTAAATGTTATTATAAGTGAATTTTTAAATAATTTAAATAATAAACATTTAGTAAAAAAATATATTTGTTATACATATAGATAGATAAATAAATACCACTTTTGTTTACATTATGTGAAACTTTATTAATATCTTCTCTTAGTGTTTGTTTACTAAATCTTGAAATGTTTACAAAATTAATTTGAAACTGTAAAATTATATATATATATATATATATATATATATATATATATATATATATATATATATATATAGTAAACAAACACTAAGAGAAGATATTAATAAAGTTTCACATAATGTAAACAAAGTGGTATTGATCTATCTGTCTATACGTGTAAAACAAATATTTTTTTGGGTGAGAGGACTTAAGAAGCCTTCTTCCCTCCCTAAATAATTAATTTATAGATTAATAAAATATTTAATTAATCACTTTTAATGAAATTATTCCATTTGACTTATTTAACTATGCTATTCAAAATTATATATTAACTTTCTTTGGCCCAAATCATATGGTACGATTATCTCCACTCAAAACTTATTTATCTAATGATAGACTAATCGTACTATTTCGAATGTAGAATTTGATATAGAATTCAGTAAGAGTAGTATTACTTATGTCTTATGTTTGACTTTAAATCTTTCAATCATTTTAATCGGGTAACCAAATATCAAAATTTATTTTGATGTATTGTTTATGTTACTTATGAAATGGAAATGTTTCGATCTGTTTTAAAAATATAATGAAAAAAAAATAAAAATATTAAAAATTATTTTTTCAAAATATTAGTTGAAATATAACAAAATATCTTGAAATATTTTGAAATAATTATATAAATGCATTGAAATATTACAAAACATTATAGAATATCTCGAAATATTAAAATTTTGATTTTAATAACGGATTCGTTTTGATCTTCTTAAAAACAGAAATGACTGTTTCAAAATAATATCTTAATCCTTCCACATAACAAAGGTAACCTAAAAATGGTGTGTTTCATCTTTGTGAGAGAGAAAGCTTAAAGATTTTTTTTTTTCTATTTTCTCAAATAAATTATATTATAATTTTAATCTGTCTAATTAATCTTTCAATCCATCAATCTTCCCCGAGTTACGCCTTTTTTACATCTCATCTCATTATGTTCTTTTTTTTTTTAATTGGATCTCATTACCTCAAAAGTTCAAATTATTAACGAGTCACGATCTCGGGCCTAACGATGTGGACCCGGGTCAACAGTCCATACGTGGCCCAATAACCCAACTTGGAGACGAAGCAATGCTAAAAATCAATTTTTCATCGTTGCCGACAGTAACAAAGTTATATATAAAAACCTTCGCCGGGTCTTTCTCCCACTCCGTCGTCTCGTCCAAAGTGGCAAAAGCCCTGCTTACTATCTCTCTCTCTACGTAACCCTAAAAAGAGCATCCTGACTGATGGAGGTCGACTTCGCTGAGTATCGATTGCGCTGTCAACTTCGAGGCCACGAAGACGACGTCAGATTTTTCACCACTCTCGCTTTTATCGATGTCTTCTATTGATTTTCGTATAAATATGTTTTTAATTATGAGAACAACCAATCTTTCCTTTTCTTGGTATCCAATTTCATTATATGAATAGATTTTTGTTGCATAGTATATGACAATGTTGGTCCAGTTCTGAATCTTTCGTTTGGGTCTTTAGAAGAATTGAACAATTCCACAAAATTTGCGTATATAATGAGTGATAACTTCAACTTAGTTGTTTTATACAGGTCGTACCTCTAGTTTTACTCTGACTTTGTTAGATAATCTTTAACTTCGTGATATATCTGAATGTGATAATATTGAAATTGCGGCGAACCTTTATTTTCTGGTTTTTTAGATTTATTGATCAATTCAAAATTAACCTAGATAGCGAATGATTGTAGGTATATGTCTACTTAATCAATTAATATAATGGTCTAAGTAGCTAGTTATACTATGGATACTAACATTATTTTCTGAAATTATTATTGCCAGGTTCGTGGTATATGTGTATGTGATGATGTGGGTATAGCGACTTCTTCAAGGGACAGAACCATCAGGTTCTGGTCTTCTAATCCATTGAATAATGGTGACTACACTATGTCTAAGATACTGTTGGGGCACACTAGTTTTGTGTGGGGCATTGGCTTGGGTTTCACCGAATGCGGAGCTTCCAGAAGGTGGTATTGTATCTGGTGGGATGGATACTCTAGTTCTGGTGTGGGATTTGGCAACTGGAGAGAAGGTTCAGACACTGAAAGGTCATCAACTGCAAGTCACTGGCATTGCATTGGATGGATCGGACATTGTATCATCGTCGGTAGATTGGTATGGTACATGTATTTTGCGTGGTTAAGATTATTGTTCTTGGTGGGAATTATGGGCACGTGCTTTGCAAGTTAGGACAGTTTTTGTTAAACATGGCAGTGGACTTTGTCCATAGCCATAGGTTTTCAAGAAATTTAATGATTTGGAATGCAATTGAAGTGCTAAATATTTGATTCATATTGCTTTGGTAATTAAGGGAGTTTAATAGTTGCATTTGTTTCAAGGTTCATACCCGCTAAATGGGTCTTCATTATAATGGCTTGGATATCTTCCAAGTTATGTTGGATACTATAATTTTTACCAAGTCGCAATAGGTTTGTGCTCTGCACGCATATTCCCTCTTTGGAATAATTTTTTGGGCTTGTTGAGAGGGACAAAGCAGACAAATTGTTGAGAGGGAATGGGGCAGCAGCTGTAACCCTTATTTCCTTCTTTTGCCAAAAACTTAAAGTATGAATTTACATAGTATTAGTTAGGGGTGGGGGTGGTGAGACAGGAGAGAAATAGAGAGGGATGGAATTCAAATCAAATAGCGTGGGACATGCACATGTTAACTTAGATACATATTCTCTGTAGGACTTTGAATGAACCCTAAAATTAATGCGTGAAAGTGTTTACATTGGGTAGAGCCTTAAGTAATCACTAGAAAGTCTCTTTCTATGAAAACATTGTATTCCTACATGCTAACTTTAACGGTCTGATGTTCAATACTCGCAATTATGAACTTTTCCATAGACTTTGTAGTTTAATGTTGGCGATTCTAGCCTTGTAGATCTCATATTTCATGCACCTGAAAGAGAGGAGACTTAGACTGTGCAGGTTCTTGATTAGGTATTTTGTTTCTGATGGAATAACTATTGCATCGGTTTAATATTTTTTCAGAATAACTTTTAAATTTATATGACTGTAGTCTGGTTGGGTAATGGTCCCAAATGTTGAACTTAATGTAGCTTGATACTTTTTAAGCTGAAATTGTTGTTTTATGAGTCTCATTTGATCACATGTGTTGTGCTTTAGTTTACCTGTCAATGATCATTCAAAGCATACAACTACTTGGCTGCCAATTACTTTCTTATAGTTTTTTATTGCTCAACTTTTTATGACATTTTACTGGATTGACATGATGTGTGATTCTGCCTAATGAGTGTAGTACATTAAGACGGTGGAGGAAAGACCAACCTATTGAAATTTGGGAGGCTCATAAGGCAGCAGTTCAAGCAATTATAAAGTTAACTTCAGGCGAGTTTGTTACAGGTATAAATTGTAACTCAATCATTGTATCCTATTGATTTTAAGGTATGATTGTGTAGACCTCTTCTTTTCCTCGCTTCCTGTTCTTTTCTTGAACTTTGAAGTTCTTTATTATCTTCCTTGTGATCTTAATCTTCAAGTTTAGTCCTTTGCTTAAGATATCCTGCACTTTAAATCCAGGTTCAAGTGACACAACTTTAAAGCTTTGGAAGGGGAAGACATGTGTGCATACGTTCGTAGGGCATACAGGTTGGCATTTTACATGTCTACATGTCTATCTTTTGGATATATTTGAGGGCATATTATTGTTTTTATTTAAAATGCTTATGATGTGTGTTTCTTTACTAATTGTGATGGTGATGGTTGGTGGAAGCTGGTTGATCTTTCGTATAATTGTTTGTTAATCAATAAGGTTCCTGGAAGTTGATGGCTAAACTAAAAGTGTCTTCAAAATGAGTCTTCGAGATTATTTAAATCCAAATGTTGACCGGATGTTGCTTTGATTCTTTTAAGACTTGAAGCTTTCACTGCTAGTTAAAAATTGATTTAATTGACGTTTTTCATATGATTTTTAAATGTACAAATCCTGAAAAAAGTAGCACGACAACACTCATAGTATATTTTTCAGGGAAGTCACGTCTATATTGGCAGAAATTTCCTAAGGCTAAAGCTAATTGGCAAGGTGTGAATTGCCCACCTGATGGGTTTGCCTTAGTTTTTTGACTGTCATCCAGGATTTGATGGTAGCCTAGATGGTATATCCATAGTTCTACTTTGTCCTGTATGTATTTGTATATATTAATTGTATGCGAAAAGCTTATCCTGAATACTCTGTGGTTGTCAATTGTTTTTGACTTTTCGTCTATATTTTGTTGTTCCTTTTTTTTACTAATCTCGTGGCTCTAAATGGGAAGTCTATATTGGCTAAGCATGTGTATGCAGTAGGTTATCATGGAAATGATAATGAAAACAGTTTGTAAGATCATTTTAGCCAATTGTTTCTATTTTTTTCCTTTATAATACAATATTTGTATTCGTAAAGAATTGTTTATTACGATAATTGAGTGCTGGAAATGGCATTTGTCATTAAAGGGATGTTTTTTATCATATAAAATGAAGAACATGGCCCACCAACAGATCAATCCTATTGTTTATGATTTTCCTCCTTAACGTGCCCATAAGCTTTTGGGGATTTTTCAGATACTGTTCGAGGCCTGGCTGTGATGCCTGGTTTGGGAATTCTTTCTGCCTCCCATGATGGGTAAGTTTTTCCACTTTCTTTGATGTTTTTTGTTGCTTGCTTTAGTTAACCCATCTCAACTAGATTCTCAAGTCTTAATCACAAATGCACGTGTCTGCTTTGTTGGCCTCCTTCATTAGTCAGTTACGTTAAGTTTGATGTGATTGAAAATAATAATTCACTATAGTACATAGTTCAATCAAAGTATCGGCCGATACAAATACAAGTTAGTCGAGTCATATCCGACTTGACACCTTCTGAGATGATACTGTTACACGATATGTATAAACGCTGAATCTCGTACGACTCGGCCGAGTCAATCTCGAGTTATCGTCACCGAATCAGGCGATACGACTCTGCGACACCGTTGTATGACCTAAATCTCTAATTATGCTCAACATTTTATTTTAGGTCGTATCACCCGATACTGTGTCGCGACGCCATGATCGATGTGTCTCAGAGCTCCGCCTAGTCGATGACTGATATTGCGATTTTGAACCATGCTATAGTATGGTGAATTAGTGGCAATAGATGAGTAGAAGTTTTTGTCTGATGAATACTGTTACCAATGAGAATGTTTGTGATATGAGGTGTTTTTACTAGGCTCTAGTTATAGCAAAAAATTTTATAGATGCAACCCTATTCCTCCCATGATTCAAGGTCTTGGTATCGGCCATTAACTTATTGAACTTTGAGACACATCGGTTTGTGGCATCACGGCGCGGTATTGTGCGATATAACCTAAAAGAAAATGTTGAACATGAGGAGAAATTCAGGTCATATCACGGAGTCGTGGAATCGTATCGACCAATTCAATGACGATATTTCGGCGATTGGGGATTGACTCGGATACAACTTGGATGACTCGGTTGAGTTGTGCGAGATTCGGGGTTTATACGTATCGTTTAATGGTATCGTCTCCGAAGGTGCCGAGCCGAATAAGACTCGGCCGACTCGTATAAGTATCGGCCAATATTTTGAACCATGATTCCTCTTCTACCTTCTCTACCCATAAACATATATATTTGCACTTATTGAAGGAATTTAACAATTTAACTTTAGTAGTACAGTCATCACTTGTAAGGGGGATGGCGAATCCAATAATATATGAGTAGGGCTCTGCTCGTTTA